GCTGCCCCTGCATTGATTTTGTTCCTTTACATGCTTGATCCACTGAAGGGATAGTAGGGCTACACAACGAGATGGAGTATTTGCTTCAATCCTCGTCTGATTGCATTAAAGTCGATTCTTTGTATGAGGTGCATAGAAACAACGTACTGAGTAGGTAGTTGTGTTTTAGACAACGGACAGCCGTCCTCAGTGCAAAATGCTTCGATTTCATTTCACAGAATGAACAGCAGTCTTCGCCCAATGCAATTGTTCCTATTCCTCGCAATGATTTTCCAATCTAAGCAGAGAATCTGCCAGGTTTCGAGTCCAGGAAGATTGATTGTGCATGGTCCCGGACGAAGACAATGTGACATATCGTAGGCCCCGGGACGAAAACATTACGGGTGGCCCTGAGTTGCTCCAGGAAATACGTTTCCACCTCTGCCCGAGATCACGGTGACCAGACAGGTTTTGTCCCCAGAGAATGGACCAAGGGCAACTCGTAACCTTTTGGTCTGTAACTGTACCGTGCATATACATTGCGAGTTTCAGTAACATTTACCCGGCGTGCGCTCTTATTTTCGTGAGCCGCAAAATACCCCTGCACTGACGGTCTTCTCGTACCACAATTGAGCTTTAGAAGGCCCAGATGGGATCATTCCCTCCACGCTGTGCTTACGAAACATGATCAGGTCTTGCGAAGTACATGTACAAAACGCCTCGCGTATTGCAAGGCCCATCATTGATCTGTAACTGTAGAAGTATTTGAAGTCGTCTTTTTCCAGCTGTGGTTTGCTTTTGGTTCTTCGACCTTAACTAACTCCTCTCTCGCGCCGAATAGAACAAGAAGATACAGATACACAACCACCAAGACGGGTGGCCAAACGACTAGCCGTCACCATCGAAACTATCCGTCCTGCCACGACAGCCAAGAGCGGGACTTTGCTTACTTTGCTTAATATTGCACCTCCTGCAGGACCTCGGCTTGGCATCGGTATCACCCCTGGTTCGCCTACATTCCTCCCGTCCTTATTAACCCTCGACACCCTCGCTCGCTCTACCCCCGCTCGTGCGTAGACTTGGGACTTGTACTTGTGTCTCGGGTGTGACTCGCTGATTCGCTTTATGGGTCACTTGGGGAATCGGCTCGGGATGGAAGCTTGTGAATTCCTAGAGACTGGAATCTTGGAATATCCACCTAGCTGCTCTAACCATTCAAACGTCCTTCATATCATATTAGTAAACCGTGAACCCATTCATTAAACGCTGCCCTTCCTCTCTACCTGGTTGATTTCCGCATCATCAGACTTCTCTCCGGATCCATCGTCGGAGTATTGTCTGAAACCCTGCTCCTCCGCCAATTCGGCCATAATGGTCTTGTTTGCCCTCCAGACAGGCTTAATGGTGAAGAGACGATCCATGGTCTCCAAAGGAATGGACTTAGTCTCAGGCATCAGGAAGAAGATAAAGATGGCGGAGCAAATCATGAGCGAGGCGAAGAAGAAGTAGACTCCATAGCCCCACGCATTAAACATTTGCGGGGTGAAGCGAGAGATGATGAAGTTCCAGAACCAGTTGTTGGCGGCTGCGCTAGCTTGACCAAGGGACCTGAGAGTACATGTTAATGATATGGCCACGGATGACATGATGTAGACTTCAGCATACCTAGTGTTCTGGTCGAACATCTCAGAGTTGATGACCCAAGGGGTACCGTTCCACGAGGGCGTGTAGAACACTGTCCAGAGGTAGAAGAAAACCATGGCGGAGATACCGCCGCTGGAAAGGCCGCCACCGTTTCCGGATGCCGGGTTGAGAGCGAGGTAACCACCAATGTACCACATGCACAAAGAGCCGCCAATGGCACCAATCATCAGCAGGTTGCGACGACCGAGGTGGTCAATGAGCCATAGAAGCCACACGAAGGTCACAATCGTCTTGACGACACCGAAAATGCCAGTTGTGAGGAAGCTGGTGTTGGTACCGGTGATGCCAATGCTCTTGAAGACCGTGGGGCTGTAGTAGTTGATGGCGTTGATGCTGTTGAGGACTATGTTAGTGACTCGGCTACTTGTTGTTGAACATGGAGGATTGCTCGCTTACCCAGAGCCGTTTTGCCACAAGAAAAGCATGCCGCCAAGGAAGAAGCGCCACTGGACCTTGCTCTGCTTGAGAGAAGCGAACGGCTTCCAGAAACCGGCGCCAACTTCCTGGCGGTAGCGCTCGAGGTCGGCATCAATGTATTGAACCTCTTCAATGATGTACTTGTCTTCAGGGGACAGGTTTCTGTGAAAAAGCGGTTGTTAGACTGAGGGTCATAAGCGAAATAATGGATTGTGGGGCACATACCGCATCCAGCAAAGAGCCTTCATCGCCTCCTCTCTCTTGTACTTGGAGAACAGCCAACGGGGGGACTCGGGGATGAAGAGAGCTCCAATGAGCAAGAGGCCGGCAGGAATCAGCTGGACGGCGAAAGGAATGAGCCACTGGCTGTGACTGGGAGCCATGGTAGAGTCGACGCCGTAGTTGATCCAGAAGCCGACGAGGCCACCGATTTGCCATCCGAGTTCGTAGATACCGACGAGACGTCCACGCACGGCGGGAGGAGAGAGCTCCGAAATGTAAATGGGAGTCATGTTGGAGCAGCCTCCCACACCGATACCCGCAAGTACTCTGCCGGCGAGGATGAGACCGAGGCCGCGCGCGCGGTTGGCGCCGAGCATCATACCGGCACCGAGGAGGAAAATCGTAGTGAACAGCATCAGACTCTTCTTGCGGCCAAGGAAGTAACTGCTAACGTAGGCGAACAGACTTCCGAAGAAGGCACCAGCCTGGTAGACAGAAACGATGTTGGACTTGAGCAGAGCCAGACCGTCCTTGCTGTAGGAGGCAAACTGAAACTCCTCCATGAAGGAGGGCAGGGCGAGAGTGGTTCCGATGAAGGCAGAGTCATAACCGATGGTGCAACTGGCGAAGGACGCGATGATTGCACAAAAGTAGACGCGCCAGTTGTAAACCGCCTTGGGCGTCGGGCGGTCCTCTACGAGAGTGAGGAGAGCCATGGTGATAATTTGTTTGGAGGTGTCTGGCGGTTGCTGGTGTTCGAGGCGAAGTTGAGACCGTCTGAACTCCAAGTCTTCGAGGTTGGGGTTGAAGAGTCAAGAGTCTTAAGGAGAGACGGGGAAAAAAATCAGATTACGACGGTCCAGGGTTGCCTTTGTTATATGGATGCGTCAGGGCTCTCTGGCTCTCCAACAACTTGGTAAAGACTGACTGACAGGTGGCGCACGTATCGGTTCGTCTGGGGTAAAGTCTGGGGGTCTGGAGCAGCGGAGTTTGGGTCATCCCACGGGGAGGGAATCGAGCGGCTGGACCGTGGACGAATGGGATCTGGGGTACGCTACACGAACAAACTCGCTCATGCGTATGGAGATTCCGGAATGTTGACTCTGGGGTGAACGCTTCTCCCTCCAACTAGATGGTTGTTGGACTGGCGCGCCGTCTCCGAACCGGAGCAAAATCTGCAACCTATGACTGACTCGTTCTCCATAAGGCGTGGAGCCCGGCAGACATGTTCTTCTCCGCACCAACTATCTGCTTCCGAACTAGATCCAATCTCATAGACCCCCAAATGCTGGAGAACCCCTGTCCAGACCGGGGCTGTGGGTTGAATGTTTATCCTGTCAGCGCTTCTCTATTGCCATTCGACTGTCTCGCATTGCACGTGGACGTCGTCCGACGTCCCAACTTGTGCCAGTCCCAACGGAACGGAATGACAGCAATGCGGGCGAAGAAGCTGTTCCCCAGCTTTCTCTGCCTGTAACCTTACGCAGATATGGGGAAGATGCCTGGCCTACGGGGTGCATGCTGTGTCTGTCAAGTCGGCAGGGGCTCAAATCAGGTTGTTGGCGTGTGTGTGTGTGTAAGAGAGAGAGAGAAATACGCCAAGGTGGAGTTGAGAATATCCGGTCGAGATGCGCCAACCAAGCCACCGGGACGCTCTCCAAGGCCTGGCCACATGATTATCGGCCACGAGTCCACGACAATTCACCTCACTCGGACTGTACGATTAAGCTGTCCTGGAAGTTGCTAGCGGAGACAACCTCTCGACCCTGCCATCACCGCCCGGATGATAATTCTTTGCCGCCAAGGACTGTGACTGCTTGGTGTTGAGTTTGTCCCACCTGTGATGAAGCAAAAAACAAAAACAAGGGGGGGGGGGGGGGCGCGGGGTTACCCAAGATACACGACTTGATTATGATGGCAATAGGGGCAAATAAATCTCTCTGCACGACTCTAATGTGTCGACAGGCCACGCGAATCCAGACCAAACCTCACATGCATCGTCTTAACCTTAAGTCTCCGCATTGAATAACCCCACGTGAATAGTTTCGTCGCCACAAAAATGGTTCTCGTTGGTATCCATAGACTTGGTACGTGCCATCAAACAATGAAAGTGGAGGCAAGCCGGGGCACAGTCTTAGGCTGTGCTTCATAATCACCTCCTGGCCACGGCCTCGACAGCCAAATCAGGGTACGGACAGCCTGGCCATTCCAAATTGCTCTGGTAAAACGTTGTGCTTCTGTCGGATGGTTGGATGCGGCACTTGGCGTCCAGTCCTGTTCCTGATGATTGTAATTCCGTGGTGGGCTGCTCTTCAATCTGCCGGGGTTAAGTTCTGAAAGTCCTCGTAACTTCGTAAGTACATGTAAGAAGCCAGACCTCTTAGTCTTGTCGGCGGTGCAGGAGGGTCAACAAATAAGAGAGATGAGCCAACTGGCATTTCTTCAAGGAAAGGGACGAAAAAGGCTAGACAGTCCGAATGCACAAATCACTGCCCTTGGCGAAGCCCGCCCTGGATGAACACTTCTTCGTCACACCGCAAGACTTGTTTGCTAGCACTGCAGTATTGATCCGTTAGAACAGGGAGAACAAGGAGATAATAGTGACGTGCAGATAGTATTTCCAGAGACTGGAATCAATGTTCATTTTCTACTAAAGGTCATAATACATTATACTTCGCTCACATTCCTCCATACTCTCCCCGAAGCATGTCAGTCAAGTCTGACCCTGGGGCAAAGCCGAGATTGGCCATAAACTGCGGGTCGGCTTCCATACTATCTGTGCAGTCGATAGAAGCAAGCTCGTCCATAATGGCGTCGTAATCCACGCCGTGAGCGCCCTGCCCCATCAGATAGGGTGCCTGAGCTGACGACAAATGTCCCATGAAGCCGGAAGGAAATGCATCCAGTTGGCTCCCTGGCGTAAATGGCATGGTTCTTGCCGTTGACGGACTGACGGATGATGCTGTTGGTAAAAATCCGTTGCTATTAGGATGATGATAAGAGTCCGCAGGCATCGAGAAGTGCGGAAAATGCGAGTCCCTGCGAGCGGATGATGGGTGATGCGAGAACTGATTCACAGCCGGCTCGGCCTGAGCTGGTGTTTGCTCGCTCGGATCCGCTTCCATAGAAGAAGAATCCACGTTCGTCGTCCGATCTTGCCAGACAGACATCAGATTACCCATCAGTGAGTTCCACCGCGTCTTATCATCATCCCGGAGAGCTTTGACGCAACTTTTGGTATTTGCGATGCTCATATATGTGACCAGGAGGGGCGAGACGCCGGCTGCGCCAAAGTGGGAAATCGAACTCTCCAAAACTTCCATCAGACTCCAGATCAGAGACACTCGAGGGTCGGCCATCAAAGTCAAGGTCGCGCCGAGGAAGGTGGCCTGGATGAGGAAAGCCGATGGGAGTATGGGTATCGTCGACGCTCCAAACACTACTGAATTGCAAAATGAGAAACGAGGATCAAGCACTTGAACAAGGTTCGCGGCACCAATCTTTGGACCCGCCCCCCCAGACTCAACACTCTGGTTCAGTGTGCGGAAGAATTGGTAGAGCTGATTGAAGGAGCTCAAAGACTGTGCAGGCTGTACAGCAGCTTCAACGTCCTCCAATCCGAATCCAGCTCTGGGCGTCCATGGTGCCCATTCCTCTGATCCGTTCTCCTCTGTCGGCCTATCCTTCATGTCGTTTGTCCTCATGTGCGGCGTCTGACCAAGCCTTAAGGAAACGATGGTGTCCAGCATAAGACAGGTCATCAAGACCCGGTCCAAAGCCGTCGAGTATGCTTCTTGCGTCGAAGAAGCCGACAGGCCCGAGATCGGTTCTCTTCCGCCGTTTCGTGATCGTCCATCTGCCAGGGCCATGGCGCCCCGGACGGCTAGACCGATCAATAGAGAAGCTGCTGCGGCGTTGTCCTGCCCCAGCTTCACCAAGGACAGCACTAGAAGTGCTTTCACATGGCCCAGTGCCATGTCAGTCTCTACTGGTATGAGACTACGGGCTGCTGCTGTTATCATACTGGGCCGGTCAGGTGGTTCTGAACCTCCTGGAGGCTGTGATGATGCCGCATCCTGGAATGCCCCGACGGCAAGAGCGCACCAGAGCTCAGCATGAGCAGCACTGTTATTTGAGTCTTCCGGGTCGATATCGAGACCGTCTGGAGGATACGAGGCCGCAGCGCTATCGAGAGTTTCTTTAGAGTTTAATATGGGAAGCCAACTGTGGGTGTACGAATAGTACACCTCTAATAATCGAGGAAAATTTCTTGGTAACTTGAACCTTCGCCGAGACCTGGAGCCATGCCGTTGCCTCGATACTGGTTCCTTTTGGGCGTCTGGTTTACGGTCAACGGCGTTAGGTTGCGGAGAGATGTCAGGACCATCCAACGGAGTCTCCCCGTTCCGTTTGTTGCGGCCATCACCTTCAGCATCCGATTCGTCTCCGGAAGTATCCTGGCGTGGGCTTATGCCGTCCTTGCCAGATAGGAGCCGGTCAATATCCTTATGGACGCGGCATCTCCTCCATCTTTTGTGAAGGCGATTGCCTGCCTCGCTGTCTTTGTCGAGGAGGAGAGATTGGCCGCCACCCCCCTCCTGCGTGAGTAGACCCGCCAGCTTCTCTTCTGTTCCAGGAACCTGGTCGAAGAGCCATACGAGGGCAAGCTCGAGAGTTCGGATCAAGCCGGTCTGGACGCCGCGCTTCTTCGGTGCGACATTGTATGTACATGGCCGCGACAAGGTAACACAGGAGAAGCATTGAGGTTGGACGCCATCACACTTCTCTCGGGCACTGTCCGCATAATTAGCAAAAGTTCGGTTCACACATGTAGTAAGCTGGCGATAGTGACACTGAGACCAGCACCAAAGCCGATATCGCAACCAATGCGCGGAATGTTATCGACATAGCATTGGCTACGCCGAAACGCTTGCAACGGAGAAGCACCCGGGCTTGTAGTTCCCTGGGCATCTAGTCGCTTGGAGGAAACGCTCGGCAAGAAGGCAATGAAGATGAGAGAAAGGGAGAATGGGAAACAATGGTGCTGGATTCTGCTTGCCTTCTGCATTGGTCGCATGCACGAGATACCCTCTGGCGCTTTGGGACAGAGGTCGAGGTGACACTGTTCTCGGCATCTTGAGCCTTTCTCTTGGATGGCATCCTTCAGTCGTAGCCGCAAGCGGCAGGGTAGCTCCAATGGCTCACGCCGCGGAGGACGGCATAGAGGGCGCGGCACGAGAAGCGGTGATGTCGGCGAAGAAGCTGCGAGGGCAAACGAGCGCGCGCTGCGAGCGATGATTGAAGCGAAGTGAGCAGCGACTGGGGTTGTGATTTGCGAGTGGATGTTGCGTTGCGTTGCGGCGAGCGGGATGAGCAAGGTATGATGGCACACGGTTGAGCAGCAGAAGCAGCAACTCCAGCCAGCAGTACGGATAGTAGCAGCAGTAGTATCAGACTCAGCAGCGGCCGTAGCAAACAGCAAGCAATGATGAGATTGACGTCGTCTTTGCTTCTTCTCCAAGATTTCCCGCGCGCTGTGCTGGACAGAGAGTGGGGAAATCCTGGGGTAACCTCACAGGCCGACGCTCGCGGTGCCGCCCTCAAAGGTTGTTGCTAGATCTCGGACCTCATGGGACAAAGGTCAGGTTCGAGAGGCTGGTCAGCTGGCATTTCTGTGGCCTTAATTGGTTGCGAGATGGTGAGTACGGACGACTCAGCATGCGGGGTGTTAAGGAGATACTTTGAGTCTGCAGATGCTATCCAGATCTAGGAGTCAAGACCAGGGGGTTGGCGATGGCAACTCTTCGACTCTAGCTGGTACTTGCCAACGCATCGTAGACACAAGGGGCATTGACGAGGATCTCGTTGGCTACATCCTACGCAGTTCCACGCTCATCTCAAGTTATCCCGCCGCAAACCTCAAACAGCCGAGTTTCCTCCCCTCAACTCACACAAGAACGATCCCCCCACGCCCACAAGTAACTCGCTAACGTCCAGCCCATGGCTAAACATTTATCAGAGTATCCCACCTTAGCGCCGAGCAAGGGAGAGGGGCACCAATTTAGCACCGAGGGTCGGAACTGGGGAACGGCTTTGAAGTTGCTCCCACATAGTGACCTAACAATTCTGCCGCGGTGTGTTCGTACTACGGAGGACTTGGGGCGCGACTCAACGTGGACTGACTGACTGACTTGACTCTTCTCCAGAGAGAGCTTGACCTTGTTGGACTACAGCTGAACGGCTTTGCACGAAACATAGCATAACGACAAAGATATTCGCGCGCCTCGCCTTTAGAGTCTCAACTCGACACCGGCGCGTGCGCATGCATCCTGGGCTTTTCCCTCCTCCTCCTCCTCATCAACCTACCTGCGTCTGCACTGCTACAGCTAGGTAGGCTGAGGAGCCATGGCGACAGCCGGAGTGAAGCGGTCCTACGTGGCCACCGCCATGAGCGATGAGGAGGACCATCACCACCACCAACTCGAGAATCCCGCAAAGTTCATCCGCGTCGACGGTCGCAATGGCCACTCTGCGTCGCCTAGCCAGCCCCAGAGCCCGAGGACCAACAGCAGCAGCAGATATTCCATGGCTGCTTGTTCACGACCAGAGACGCCAATCACGAGACCAGCAACACCCGTGGCCCATCTTCCTGGCGAGGTTCCGCCATTCCCTGCCGATGCCTCCATTGTCCTTGCCGGCATCCGCGGCGCAGGAAAATCAACGCTCGCCATCATTGCCTCGACCGCCATGGAACGGAGGGCCGTCGACTGCGAAAAGGCCTTCCAACAAGTCACTGGCCTGACCAGTTTCGCGTACAAGAGGGCCCATGGCCCCGCTGAATGTCACCGCCGGCAGACAGATGTCCTTCGAGACCTCCTCGACCAGAACTCCAAGAGCACCTTGATTGTGTGCAGTTGGATGGAACGTGGGGTCCAGACACTCTTGAGGGAGTTTTGTCGTACACATCCCGTCGTTCACATCGTGCGAGACGTCAAGGCTATTCAAGAGCACCTAAAGATCGAGGATGAAGATAAGGCGAGAAACTTGCTGGCGGCCAGCAGCACCATTTTCCGGACATGCAGCAACCTTGAGTTCTTTAACGTCTCCGAGACGGCCGACCCATGGATCGAAACCGATGCCGCAAGAATTGAGGCTCAAGCTGGTGGTCAAAAGCCACCTGCTCCCTACCTGACTTTGAAGCGGGCCGAGAGGCATTTCTTAAAGTTCCTTAGTCTCATCATGCCCAAGGGCTCCATTCCCTTCATCGAGTCGGCTTTCCCGTTGGCTTCCATACCTACCGAGGACAGACGGTTCACTTACGCCATCTCGGTCTCTCTTTCAAGCCTGCTGAACAATGAACTCGCCATTCAAGAGCTCGAGACCGGAGCAGATGCTATTGAGATCGTCCTCGACGGAATCGCTGGTGCGCAGTCACTAGACTCCGAACGAGCCGCCGACATTGCCAGAATCATAGGGTCCATAAGGAGGAGCACCGTGATACCGTTAATGTACCACGTTGTTCTTCCAGATTCTTCAGAGTCAGTGTACACCGACTACATACTACACGGCCTGCGACTCTGCCCTGAATACCTCACTGTCGATCTCCGCCTCAACGACTTTCAACTATTGCACATCATCTCTATGAAGAGGCGCTCAAAGATAATTGGACATTTAACACCTGCGGCCGACTCCCCACCATGGTCAGACCCTTTCTGGATGTCACAATATCATAGAGCACGGCGTCTAGGATGTGATCTGGTCCGGCTTGTCAAGCCAGTGACCTCCATTAAGGATAATTTTGATATTAGCCACCTCAAGGCTCTCGTTGAGGCTTCTACCGGCCACAAGATTCCCCTCATCGCTTACAACTCTGGACCTCGTGGCAGACACTCAGCGGCTATGAACCACGTCCTGACCAGTGTTGTGCCAGAGAAGCCCGTATCATCGACTTACAACCCTAATCAGCCATGCTTGACAGCAGCTCAAGCGACGCAGGCACTCTACAACTCGTTCCTGTTCGACCCTATGAAGATCTACGTCTTTGGTGCCCACGTCTCTTACAGTTTGTCACCAGCCATGCACAATGCCGCTCTGAAGGCTTGCGGCATTCCGCACCTCTACCGACCATTCTCGACGCCTTCCCTGAACGGGCTGCGAGAGCTCATTGAGGATCCTTACTTCGCGGGTGCCAGTGTTGGCTTGCCCTTCAAAGTCGAAATCATCACCCTCACACACTCTCTAAGCCGACACGCGCAGGCGATAGGTGCAGTCAACACACTTGTTCCTGTTCGTCGACTAAATCCCGACGGCACTATTCCAGAGGACGAGAAGCTCTTCAACTGCCGTAATCGCGCCGGTCCGGTCAGGGCGCTCTACGGAGAAAACACGGACTGGATCGGCATTCGGGCTTGCATTCGCAGAGGGCTCTCTCCCGCCAATGCTGTACGAACGTCGAGCTGCGGTCTCATCATCGGAGCTGGTGGTATGGCTCGCGCGGCTACCTACAGCATGCTGCAGCTAGGAGTCAAGAATATTGTGGTCTACAACCGGACAATTACTAATGCGGAAAAGATGGTTAATCATTTCGCGCGCCTGTTGAAACGGCACGACCTACCGCTCCTCAGCGCAACTTCGGACGTGGAAACGAAATTTCACATTATCCGAAATCTGGATGAGCCATGGCCCGAAGACTTCCGACTGCCGACAATGATTGTTTCTTGCATCCCGACGCATAGCATTGGCGATGTCCCTGCACCCAACTTCGAGGCGCCACAGGCATGGCTGGGAAGTCCAACTGGCGGTTGTCTGGTTGAGCTGGGCTACAAGACACTGGATACACCGATCTTGAACCAAGCGAGAAAAGTGTCGCACCGAGGTTGGGTTACTATGGACGGTCTTGATCTGTTGCCCGAGCAGGGTTTCGCTCAGTTTGAGTTGTTTACAGGCAGACGAGCACCACGTAGGTTGATGCGAGGAGAGGTTTTCCGTGCCTATCCCGACGGGCACGATCGCTCCGCACTTGCACAGCTGCAGCCGCGCTTGAACAATATTGTCGAGCAGGAGCCATGAGATTTCTTTCCTATGGGCATGGAGTAATGATAACAGGAGACTATGATGAGAGAGCAGTGCATTCTATACTGCTAGCCAAGATACCACAGCAACGTACACGACTAATAAAATGAGTAAAAATAATTGACCCCATGTCTCACATGCTCCTCCGACTCCCGCATCCTTCCTGATTGCGAGGTTTTCTACTCGCTTTACAGGCGTAGGCTTCATGTGCTCTATTGATCGATTTCTTTCTGACCTCAGCAAAGCAAGTGGATATGTGGGATGTTGTTACCGTCGTAGTAGCCGAGATTAGGGAAATCAGTCAATCAAGTACATTGCTCCGGGTCGGCACCACCTTCAGGTTCCATTCTCGAATTCACCCAGTTCCTCCGTTAAGGCCTCTCGATTCAGGAGTGTGACGACCATCTCCCGCTGTGGTCAACACCTTCTCGGGCACCTTTGGGTTCTCGATGTCACTACCGTCTCGCGTTCCCTCAATCTCGATTCCGTCTCCCCTGGTCAAGATTGTCTGCTCAACCAAGGTCTCCTTTGCAGGTACAACCCAGCTCAGTGTGGTATACAGGAATATCGAGACGACGAATCCAAAAAGCCAATCAAAGCTGTAGAGATTCTGAGCACCCTCGGAGATCTGGACCGCAGGGTAGCCACTGATTGCCAAAGCCATCCCGGGCAAGTTGGGGGCAACAGGCACAATGAAAGCAACAAATGCCCTCCAGTTACAGCCTGCGATGTATCTATAGCGACCATGAGGGTCGTATAAGTCTAGAAAGAAAACGGGGTGTTAGTATAAGGTGGTCAAGATAAGGAATCGTCACTGGACATACCGGGCAGATCGTATCGTTGTTTTTTAACGAGCCAGAAGTCAGCAGCCATGATACCACTCAGGGGAGCGAGGAAGA